CCACTGCACTCCAGTCTGGGTGACAGAGTGAGACTCCAACTCAAAAAAAAATAAAAAATAAAAAATTAGCTGGGTGTGCTGGTGTGTGCTTGTAGTCTCAGCTACTTGGAAGGTTTAACTGGAAGGACTGCTTGAGCCCAGCAGGTTGAGGCTACAGTGTCTGTAAGCATGCCACTGCATTTCCAGACTGGGTGACAGATGAGACTCCAACTCAAAAAAGAAAAAAAAAATGACTCTAAAGCCCCCAGTCATTCTCTTACTGAAGAAAGGGACCTTGAAGAACAGGTGAGAATATCCTTCCAGAGTGTCCCTCAAGGCCCCCAAATTCCAGAAGTGAAAAAAGCTTGCCCTTCAGAATGTAGACCCTAACATGCTGAGGGATTCATCAAAGACACATTATTGGGCAAACCCCTGGGGTCCCCTCCTGTTAAGGAGTTTTTCTGTCTTCGCAATAAATCCTACTTTCGCACCTTAAAAAAAAATTCACATTTCCTGGCCAGGCGTGGTGGCTCATGCCTGTAATCCCAGCACTTTGGGAGGTGGAGGTGAGAGGACTGACTGAGTTCAGAGGTTTGAGACCAGCATGGGCAACTTAGCAAGACCTCATCTCTACAATAAATCAAAAAATTAGTTGGGTATGGTGGCGCACACCTGTAGTTCCAGCTACTTGGAAGGCTGAGGTGGAAGGATTGCCTGAGCCCAGCATGTCGAGGCTGCGGTGGCCGTGAGCATGACCCTGCCCTCCAGCCTGGGCAACAGTAAGACTCCAACTCAAAAAAAAAAAACAAAAAACCAGATTTCCTCTTCATCTCTCTTACCCTCATTGCGCAGATTTCCCAAGACCTCTTTGATGTCCCTTAAAAATCTCTAGGCTCCAGTCAGGCGTGGTGGCTCACGCCTATAATCCCAGCACTTTGGGGGCCAAGGCGAGAGTATTACCTGAGCCCAGCAGGTCAAGGCTGTGGTGGCTATGAGCATGCCACTGCACTTCAGCCTTGATGACAAAGTAAGATTCCAACTCAAACAAACAAACAAAAAGCTCTAGGCTCCAGACACAGAACAAGTGCTTACCTTGGAATTAACAGTACCCCGATTGCAGTAGAGTTTAGCATTGGTTTTTATGTTGTTGGGGTCTATCCCCAGGGCTTCTGTATACAGTTCATAGGCTAGCTTGTAATTTCCTTCCTTAAATGCTTTATTCCCATCTTCTTTCTTTGCTTTGAGTGCTTTGGCATTCTACAGAAAAAAGCAAGGGGAGGCTGGTCAGTTTATGTCTAGAAAGCCTTAGCCACTATACAGGGAGGCCAGAGACTCTTCTCAAGTCTTCAACTCCAGTAATTTGGCATCGCACAGCCCCACCCATCACCTGGGCTGTTTGCTGCCCACTGGTTCTTCCTACAGAGCGGATATGGGAAACCAAGAGTGACCCACACACCAGTGAGATCTGTGTTACCCAGGACTGGCCTCCATTCTCCCCCAGCAAGCATTACTATCTTTTCTTCACTGAGGGGAATAAAAAGAAAAAAGCCCACTTAGATATTAAAAGGATTTGCCCCTATATAATCACATTTACCTTTAAGTACATGAAAGTCGTTCTGAGATCATTTCTAATGAGGACCAAGTATCCTTGCAAAGCAGGAAGAGAAGGTACCACATTCCTTGTGATTTTAAAACCTCCCACTCTAACCATCTCAAAGGACCAAAAAAGCGAGCTTTCCTTCCCACATAGATCTGGCGCCCAGAACTTACTCTGCAAGCAATGCAGGCCTTCTCGTGGTCAGGAGCCATCCTGAGAGCCTGCACAAAAAACTGCACTGCCTTCTCAATACAATCTTCATAGTAAAGGCAAAGACCTCGTACATACAGAGCATCTGCGTTGGTGGAATCCATTCGTAAAATGTCACTGCAACAGCCAGAAAGGGGCACATTCAGCAGCAGTCTACTACCATTTGGACTAGTTTTCTCTTTGACCCTGTGTCTAGCATTGAAAGTATCCAAGGAACTCTTCCTAAACCTTCCCCCAAATAAACCGCCCATATTTATCTTTAATCTACTTCCTGTGTCTCACAATCCTTATCAGACTAGAACAGGGGTTGGCTAACTATAGCCCAGGGCCAAATCTTTTCGGTCACTGATTTTTGTAAATAAAATTTTATTGATACATAGCCAGACCCATTCGTCATCTATTACCTAGAGCAGCTTTTGCAGCACAATGGCAGAGTTGAGTAGTTGAAACAGAGACCCTATGGCCTGTAAAAGCTTAAATATTTACTATCTGGCCCTTTGCAGAAGGTTTGCCAACCCATGGAATAGAAGGACAAGGACTACATTAAACACACAAAATCCCAAAAAACTCACACAATACAATCGATTCTTTTTTTTTTTTGAGTCAAGGTCTCTGTCACCCAGGCTGGAATGCAGTGGCATTATCACAGCTACCGCAGCCTCAACCTCCTTGGCCCAGGTATTCCTTCTGCCTCAGCCTCCCAAAGTGCTGCGATTACAGGAGTGAACCACCACACCCAGCCTGTTCTTTCACATGCAGCTCAAGTAACTGCTATACTCAAATACTCCTCCATACCCTATGGGCTTCCAAATCTGATCTGACCTCTGGTTTTACGCCCTAGGGAGGTCTGATCAGACCCAGCTGGCCTACGCTCTGGACCACACGGCAGCACCTGTGGTGGAAAGCTGCCAGCCAGCAAGAGCTCAGAGGCATCTGGCATTTTAGTGCTGACCTGGCCTGACTGCATACCTGGCCACAGACTGTGCTTCTGGATAACGACCCAGCATTGCTAAACATTCTGCTTTGAGGATTTTGAAGCGATGGCAGGCAGGGGCAAATTCTAGGGCACGATCCATGCAGAAAACAACCTATAGGGAAGAGAAGAGCAAATAAGGCTCCCATCCTGGATTCCAGAAATGTCTTCACTTCAGTGTGGTCCCAGGAACAGAGTTAAGAGCAAATAAAGCTCCCATCCTGGATTCCAGAAATATCTTCACTTCAGTGTGGTCCCAGGAACAGAGTTCCAAGCTCAGAGAAGCTCCCCGGGTCCACAGTTAGCAGGAAAGTAGTGTCACATTTAAAAACACACCTGGCTGGACTCAGTGACTCAGCCTGTTATCCCAGCACTTTGGGAGGCCGAGGTGGGTGGATTGCTTGAACCCGCGGGTTTCAGACCAGACTGGGGAACTTGGTGAGACCTTGTCTCTACAATAAATAAAAAAAAATTAGGCAGGCATGGTAGTGCACACCTGTAGTTCTGGCTACTTGGAAGGCTGAGACGGAAGGATCGCAGGAACCCAGCAAGTCGATGCTGGGGTGGCTGTGAGTGTGCCACTGTACTCCAGCCTGGGTGATAAAGTGAAACGCCAACTCAAAAAAATAAAAATAAAAATAAAATAAAAGCATACCCGCTTCATTAAAGCACTGATGGGAGGCCAGCAGTGGTTCCAGATGGAAGTGAAGACAGTGAATAATTTTTTTGTTTGTTTTTGATTTTTGAGTGAGAGTCTCATTCTGTTGCCCAGGCTGGAGTGCAGTGGCACGCTCACGGTCACCGCAGCCTCAGCCTGCTAGGCTCAGGTGATCCTTCCGCCTCAGCCTTCCAAGTAGCTGGAACTACAGGGGCACGTCAATAAGCCCAATTAATTTTTTGGCTTATTGTAGAGATAAGGTCTCGCCAAGTTGTCCAGGCTGGTCTCAAACCCCTGGGTTCAGGTAATCCTCTCACCTCCACCTCCCAAATTGCTGGGATTGCAAGTGTGAGTCACTGGGCCCAGCTGACAGTGAACATTTACATTCAGTCCTCACAACCATTTTATGAAACAGGTAATACTGTCACCTTTATTTTATGATGAGAAGACCAAGACATAAAGAAGTAAGGCTTGAGCCTGCCAAAGCTAGTGACAGAAATTAGATTTGATTTCAGACACGAAGAATACAGAGCCAACAACCGTGGTGACTTTACTAAGCCGCCTCCACAGTGAATTAGTGACAGTGACCAACACTCACATTCTTCCCACGAATACTGTTGTTTGCCACTCTGCATAATCCACATGCTTAAGCTGGTTAAGCAACACAAGGAAGAGCAAGAGTAACCTGGTCCAGAAATCAGGGTTCCCCATATTACTGAAATGATTCCGCTTCCTCCTCCTCTGTGCTGAGAGCTTCACATCTCACTGAGAACCCTTCTGGTACACAAATATGCCAACAGGCCATTACTTTGTTAAACTCTGGTGTGTCCACATGGCTCTTTAAACTATGGCAGCCATATTTCCTAACCTTGACTCCCTCCCCTACCTTGGGGAGGTGAAGGTCCTCTCTCTCTCTAATTTACTTTCTAAATAAACTATATTTTCCAACCTAAAAAAAAGAGAGAAATATGCCAATAAAATGGCTCATTTTAAACGGCACTAAATAGACTACATGAGATTACTGTTCCCAACATGCTGATATACAAACCCCAGGCAAGTATCATACACACTGGGCAGAGGTCAGGTTCACAGGGATCTCCAGGGGTCCCGTTTTCCTCTTTGCAGAAGTTTGTTCTGTGAGCTTTCATTTTTGGTTTAGCTGCTATTCCTGGAAGATCCTTGCTGAATCATATTTGCCCCAAGAATAAGTGAACAAAAGAAGAAATCTGGAGTTAAGGAACACTCGTTCTCTGTAAGAATCTGGCCCTGGGCATCAGGAAGAGATGAAGTCTGAAAACTCACAAGCAGAAATAACTCAAGTTCCATCAACAGGAGACTGGTTAGCTAGAGTAGGCACTCATATAATGGTATTCCATTAACGAATGAAAAGCTCTCCACACACTGATATGGAAGGATCGCCAAGATCTAGTCAGTGAAAAAAGATCCAGAACCGTGTATAGCATATGACTTTCTGTGCCAAAAAGGGAAAATCAAGGATCTGTATTTTCCATATGTGTAACAAAACCAGGAGAAAACAGATGGCCCAAGAACAGTGGTTTCCTTAGGGGTGTGAGAACCAGGCTAAGGACCAGTTTGAGGGTATGCTCATCACTGAACATCTTTTCCTTGTTTTTCTAGCCTTTGAACCATGAAGAGCACCTATTCAAAAACTGTAATTTAAAAATGTGGGAAAGGAGGTAAATGCCACGAGCTGCTCTATCGAGAAGACTTTCTGCAGTGTCACACGGCAGTGCAGGGACACCCCTCCTTCAGTGGCACAGTCACTGTCCTGGAAGTTCTAAGAACAGAATGAGCATCTAGGTAGCATGTGGGTAGAGTCAGGATCCTTATTTCCTCCCCAGATGGAAGAAGAACGGAGGGGAAGAAAGAAGGCGGCCAACACGTCAGCGGCCACACCCTGTGCCTCCACAAGGACCGTCTGTGCAGAGCTGCCGCTGTGCGTGGTGGGAGTGTCGGCTGAGGCTCGGAGCTTCACTTCCCACCCCCACCTCCCATGACCGGGGACAGCTGCAGGCAAAGAAGATCTTTGTTTCTTCCAAGTTCATCTGTTTCCTCTGCCAGGATCATAATTCTTCATTTGTGACATCACCATGAGCTACAGTGGGGGGGCAGGGATGTCACAAACAGAGGATTCTGTCACAAACTCGGGATTCTGGCTCCAGAGTAGGCAAGAGAGAAAAGAAACCCAAAAGACTGCCTTTTGAGACAAAGCTTTTGCCTGTGCAAACCTCAGAAAACGTGACAGCAGGCAGAATGGCTATGCAAACACACACAGAACAAACAAAACAAACTTAGGAATCACATCACAAAGACACTGTGGTTATTAAAACCTCTGGACAGAAGAGGGATGTGAACCAGCTAATGCTGGGACTCTGCAGAAGCTAATCAGATATCTATCTATATAGATACACACACACACACACGTATATATATGTTTAACTATACATACATATATATACATATACATACATACATACAAATAAAAGACCTTCATGGTGTGTGAGCTAAGAATGATTCTTAACATACCCCTTTACTGAATGTTTACTAAGTACCTGCTACAGAAAGCACGGAGAAAATCCCCACATACGAAGCGTCCTTCCCTGAATGATTCACAAACTTCTTTTTTATTTTTTGAGTTGGAGTCTCACTCTGTCGCCCAGACTGGAGTGCAGTGGCCGCTCCCGGCCACCGCAGCCTCGACCTGCTGGGCTCCGGCGATCCTTCCGCCTCAGCCTTCCGAGTAGCCGGAATTACAGGCATGCGCTACCACGCCCAGATGATTTTTTTGATTTATTGTAGAGATGAAGTCTTGCTGCCCAGGCGGGTCTCGAACCCGCGGGCTCAGGCAATCCACTCACCTTGGTCTCCCAAAGGCGCGGGATTACAGGCTAAGCCACCGAGAAGGCCACAAACTTCTTTTAAGGGATCCTGAAAATCTCTTGGGCTCAGTGGTTTTTAACCTTTTTAGGGCAATCTGCCAGCTCTTTTGAAACTCTAATAAAAAATGTTTCTAAATACCATCCAAGAAGGGAGTTAGGAATTGTAGAGATCAGGCATAACAACTATACAATCCAGAAAGATATCTAAAATTTTTATGCTTTTCCCATATTTCAGATTTGTCAACCTCTTTGAAAGATGTTTAACAACTATCGGTCTGACATCTAAAGTGGTAGTGACATGTTACATGACTATTCAAAAATACAAAAAGGATTTCTCTCAATTTTATTTATTTATTTATTTATTTACTTATTTATTTATGAGTTGGAGTCTCACTCTGTTGCTCAGACTGGAATGCAGTGGCACACTCCCGGCCACTGCTGCCTTGACCGACTGGGCTCCGGTGATCCTTCCGCCTCAGCCTTCCAAGCCTTCCAAGTAGCTGGAACGACAGGCATGCGCTACCACGCCTGGCTAATTTTTTTGATTTATTGTAGAGAAGAGGTCTTGCCAAGTTGCTCGGGTGGGTCTTGAACCCACGGGCTCAGGTAATCCACTTGCCTTGGCCTCCCAAAGTGCTGGGATTACAGGCTGAGCCACCAAGCCCGGCCTATTTTATTTTTTTTTAGAGACAGGCTCTTGCTTTGTTGCTCAGGTTGGAGGGCAGTGGCTGTTCAGTTGCAATCCCACTACTGATCAGTATGGGAGTTCTGACCTGCTCCACTTCTGACCTGGGCCGGTTTACCCCTCTTTAGGCAACCTGGTGGTCACAGCACTCCCGGAATGTCACCACATGATGCTGAACTTAGTGTGGACACCTGATCAGCACAGCATACTACAGTCTAGAACTCTTGAACTCAAGCGATCCTCCCACCTTGGTCTCTTGAGTGGCTGAGACTACAGGTGCATACCACTATGCCCAGGTCCCTAATTTTGATTTACAGTTCCCAGTTCACATAAAGCAGGAGTTAAAGTCCGCTCGCATTATTCAAATAAAAGTGGATTACCAAGCCGGGTTCAGTGGCTCAGCCTGGAATTCTGCGCCTTTGGGAGGCTGAGGTGAGTGGATTGCCTGAGCCTGCGGTTTCGAGACCCGCCTGGGCAGCGAGACCTCATCTCTACAATAAATCAAAAAATCAGCCGGGCGTGGTAGCGCATGCCTGTAATTCCGGCTACTTGGAAGGCTGAGGTGGAAGGATCGCCGGAGCCCAGCAGGCCGAGGCTGCGGTGGCCGGGAGTGGCTGCTGCACTCCAGTCTGGGCGACAGAGTGAGACTCCAACTCAAAAAAAAAAAAGTGGATTACCCAAACCCAGTATTTATCTTCAATTGACTGTTCCTCTAGTAACCAGTACTTTTAGGCTACTACCTTACACCAGCAACAGAAACAAACTCATGTAACAAACTCATTCTGATTTTTATCATAAAGCCAAAAATCGTTAAGAAAATAAGTACTTTAGCAAAGAAAGAAAAGGGAAAGAAAAAATCCAAAGGATAATTGAAGCGATAATTTACTATGCTAGGCCTTGTGTAGCACACTACTACTCTTAAGTATCAAGCGCACACGTGTGCATGCACACACACACACACACGAAATTTTATCACAAAGGGCAGGTGAGATGATCTCACAGTTTACTTTACCTTCCGAAAATCCCGCTTCTCAAAATCCGTTTCTGCTATTTTCTCATATTCCATGACCGCATTAGCATTCTTAAACTACACCGGAAAATCAGATATGGGAAAGTTTTGAAGTTGTAAATTCAACAATCACAAAAATTAACAAGGCCTTGAGGAAACTGAACTGAGTAAATACTCCTGCTCCCACACATACTACACTGCCTCTTTTGATACAAACAGGGTCGGACCCATACCTCCTGCTGCGCCTGAGCATTTTTATGATCCAGTTCTAGGGCTCTCTGGAAACTACGACAGGCTGCCATGGCATTCCCTAGAGAGAGGTGGCACTTGCCCTCTCGTAGATGTCCCTAGAAGAAACACAAAGAGGGGGAAGGAGCATGACTGGCCACACAGAGAAAGCAACAGCAGCAACACCCACGCAAAACCAACACAGGAAGAAAACAGCGAGAGCAGTGGTTCTCAGTGGGGCAGGATACCCTCCAGGAGACATTCAGCAATTTAGGAGACATTTTTGGTAGTTACAAATGCAGAGAGGGGGTGCTGCTGTGATTAAAGGTCAGAGATGCTGCTAAATAGTCTACAGTGCACAGTTCAGTCTACAGTGCATAGTGCAGGCCCTACAACAAAAAATAATCTGGCCCCAAAGGTCAGTAGTGTCAAGACTGAAAAATCCTGGGTTGGAGAAACTCAAATGTAGCAACTCAGCCTTCTCCAGACAGCCTCATCACATACATACCCGGACGAAACTGTCATCCAGTCGCACTGACTGCTGGGCATCTCCAAGGGCTTCCCGGAACCGTCCAAGCATCATCAGTGTGGCTGCTCGGTTACCATAATAGCTAGCATTTTTAGGACACATATCTGTAGAAAAGGCATAAGACTGTAAAACAAAATTTAGCACAGGCTACTGCTTCAAAAATGTAGGAGGCATCTCAGATCAACATCAAGAAAAACTAGGTCAGGCACAGTTTTTTCACACCTATAATCTCAGCACTTTTTTGGACGCCAAGGTGAGAGGATTGCCTGAGCTCACGGATTTGAGACCAGCCTGGGCAACTTGATGAGACCTCATCTCTATAATAAATTCAAAAAACATTAGCCAGGCATGGTGGTGCATGCCTGTAATTCCAGCTACTTGGAGGGCTGAGGTGGAAGGATTGCCTGAGCCCAGCACGTCCAGGCTGTGGTGGTCGTGAGCATGCCACTGCACTCTAGCCTGGGTGACAGAATGAGACTACAACCCAAAAAAAAAAAGAAACTCAAGCTATAAGAATGTTGCCATATTTGCTTTAAAAGGCCACAGCCAAAATATTGACTACCTATATAAGTGGCCAACAGCAACGAGACAATTTAAGGAGAAAACAAGGTGCAGCTTTAAAGAACACTACTTATCTCTTAGTGGGGAGAGGCAGCTTACTAATTTTCTTTTTTTTCTTTCTTTTTTCTTTTTGAGTTGGAGTCTCACTCTGTCACCCAGACTGGAGTGCAGCGGCTGCTCCCGGCCACCACAGCCTCAACCTGCTGGGTTCCGGTGATCCTTCCACTTCAGCTTTCCAAGTAGCTGGAACTACAGGCACATGCTACCACACCTAGCTATTTTTGATTTGTTGTAGAGATGAGGTCT